GACCACTTAAGATTTTTTTCAAAATAAATTGAAAAATCAAGATTTATCATTATTAAGTGTGAAAAATATAAAAGAAAAGGGGAGTCGCCACTCATCCAAATTATAAGGTGGGACAAGTCACCTAAAACGGGTCTGCGTAGAGATCGAGGTTCGGGGGTTCGGTTAGGAGTGAGGAAGGGCATACGCGCACCTCACAATCCTCCGTTTAAACACGGTTGTATACTTTAACATTGGGGGTTTTAATTCAACTTATTTACTATCTTTATGTTTAAGTCTTAATAGAGAAACTTAAAAGGGATAAACTAAATTGAAACATTTTTTTTATTTTTGGACTAAAATGGACAAAATAAAAGACATGTATGCACAATAAGCACAAATAAAAATTAAATGGACTGATTTGATTAAAATAAAAATAAAGGACTGATTTGAAAAGATTTGAAACTTTTGGACTAAAGTGCTTGAACATGAAAGGATTGTGCGAAATTAAAATAAAAGAGATAACTTCTGATTTTTTTTACTTTTTAACCTTTTTAGTTTTTTTTTTTTTTTTTTTGGGGGGATTAAATCGGACTGACCCGACCCAAAAACACAATGCAAGCATAAAAATAGATAAAAAGAAAGATCAAACATGCAACCAAAGCGGGAAAACTAGAATCCATGTAATTTCCAGTAACAGCAACACATTCATCAGAAAATAAACTGAACAATTTTTTTGATTTTTGATTTTCATTGATTTTCAAACGGAACATGTACAAGCTTGAACGTTAAACAAAAAGATGCAGAAACATCAACCAAAATAAGAAAAACATCCACGGCAGAGCCTTTTGGGTAAGATGGATCCAGATCAGATGGGAGGGATCCCACCCACGGGACCAGGCTCCTATCGTCTCCTTCACCATCATTCCCAAAAGGCTCCTCTGTTCAGAAATTACCTAGCAAAAGGAGGCTAAAATATTGCCGGAATCAGCTCGGTTTTCTCCTTTCTCTTGCTATCATCTCCGGCAATCCCAAACTCAGACCAAAAGAACAACCAAGAGAAAACCCCAACCAAAAGAGAACCCCCCAACCAAAAGAGAGCCCCCTCTTTCTTTTCGGACTTATCTCCTCTGTTTCTCTTTTTTTTTTTCTTCCGTCCCCCCCCTTGTATTCTGCTTTTTGCTCCATATATATACCCAAATAAAAGATAAAATAAAAATAAATAATAATAAAAAAAAAGGCCTTGCTCTGTCAATCAATGATGAAGATTTTCTGGCATGTACTGTAGCGAGCAGAGGCAGGGGTATGGCTCGGTGCAGAGGGCATGATTGCTGGCGCAGAGTGCAAGCGTGCAAGCAACGTGGGTTCGGCTCAGCAGGCGGCAAGGGCTGGTTCGGTGCAGCAACAGGGCGCAGAGCAGGATCGGTGCAGAGCAGGGGGCGCTGAGCAGGGCTGATTCGCGGTGTGTGGGGGGGCAGCAGTGCAGGGGCGCAGGCGAGCAAAGGGGCTTGGAGCAGGGCAAGGTTCGGGTGTGTGGGATTGGGGAAGAAGTTTCCAGATCCAATTTTTTTATTTCCCCTTTTTTTTTTTGGGTTTTGGCTTAAATGGGTTTTGGGTTTTGGGTTTGGTATTTGGGTTTTGGGTAATTGGATTTGAGTTTGGTTTTGGGTTTTGATGGGTTTTGGGTTTGGGTTTTTAGGTAATTGGGTTGGACTTGTAAATTCATTTTGATGAACTTCACCCCTCCACCTTTTGATTTCTTCAATTGAGTC